ATCTGCTTTGTTTTTCCATTTTCTTTCTTATAATAGGAGTATTTATTCTTCTGAACAATCTTTATAGTAGCAGGTATTCTGGCACACAGACTAGCCATAATGTATTCCATTTTCTAGTGCAGAAAATGTGTACACAATAAAAACCCATGCTGTAGTAATAAAGCTTTTTCTGTTATCTTCATTAGCCATTCTTTGTGTATTTTATTGATACTTATTATTCAAGGCAGAATGTAAAAATGCTATTTTTATCATCGCAACCCTCCAAAAGCAAGTTGGAATCATTGCTTTCTCCATTTTCTCCATTCTATTTTTGAAATTTGGGAATAACTTTTCTGCTACTGTTTTTATTGTCTTCTATTTCTTTCCATAGCTCCTCAGAGTCTTGTGAATTAAGAATACTGAAGTTGTTCTGTCCCTCAATCTTATATTTAGACTTGACTTCTATAGTAAAATAATCTATGCTCTCTTTAATGCATATTTGCCAAGTTTATCATACATATTTGATACACAGTTTGATATACTTAAGACATTCTCCCATTGATACACTGGGGTTGTTTCATAACCTACAACTGAAATAGGTCTGGTTGACTGAGTTGTATTTCTTCATCTTTTGTTTTCTCTTATGAAGTTGATTTATTTCCAGTATTGTGTATCCAGAGATGTCTATGTATATGGATTTGAAGGCTAGTATTGAAGAATGAAGAATTATCTTTAAAAATTTTTTATTAATCTCTCACCAAAATTATTCTGTTTACCCAATTGAAAATTGAATTACATCAACCTGAAAATTGAATGTCATCATCCTGTTACTGCTGTCTCATTCTTGATAATGCATTTCATAACTTTTGTTATTTTCTGTAGAATTTCACAATGGTTTGTACTATTGCATCTGCAATAAATGGTTGCTCTTATGTACTGCTGAATTTTGCTGTATATCCACTAATTCAAGTAGATAGGATACTGCATATAGTGAGTTGTCTATGAACAGTTAATCCTGACTTTATCCTGAAATAAAAATATCAGTGTACCAGAAGCATCATTTTCTTTTGTTCCAAACCTTTGCTGTACTTATTGTGTTGTATGCTGATTATTTAATACATGTTAATGTTTTCTTTAGAGTCCTTTGCCACCAGGTCTCTGATGCTATATTTTGGGGGGGGGGGGGGGGTTCCCATCAATATAGGCTAATCATATGGCTGAATGTGCAAACTAGCATCCCCTGGAATCTCATTCTCTTGGTAATATTTACTACTGTGAAATGCATGCTAAGATACCTTACACTGTAAATTTTCCACTTACTTAGTTGAATCCTGAAAAGATAGAAATTATGCATTACAATAAATGTCCATTATGCACTATTTCAAATTGGTTAATTATATTGCAAGGAATTAGGAAAACGCAGAGTTACTTTTTGGGTAATTTTCAAAGATAGTCTATGGTCATGTCAGCAGGCTATGTTAATCAAAATTTATGATTAAGCTTCTTTTCTTCCCTCGGCCCATGTGACCTGAAATAGTTACCACTGGTTTATTTAAAACATAATTTATAATGTGTTCTCCCATCTCCTCGAAATAACCATGTTGTTTTTGCTACTAAGTACAAGCTGTTAATTGGAGACAAACATACCTCTTAACCTAATAATAACACATAAACTAACATATTAACATATTTATCATCCCTAATGATAAACCACAACCTACAGGGCATTCAGAAAGTATTCAGACCCATTTCACTTTTTTCAATTTTGTTATGCTGCAGCCTGATTCTACAGTTGTTGAAATCCATTTTTCTCTCATTAATCTACACTCAGAACTCCATAATGACAAATTCACACAATTTTAGAAATGTCTGTTTATTTATTAAAAAGAAACTCAAATATCACGTTGGCATAGGTATTCAGACCCTTTGTAACAACACTTGAAATTTAACTCGGGTGCCTCCTATTTCTTTTGATCATTGCTGACACATTTCTACACCTTGATTGGAATCTACCTGTGGTAAATTAAATTGATTGGGCATGATTTGGAAAAGCACACATCTCTATAGAAGGCCTCACAACTGACAATGCATACTTTAGTAGAGCAAAAGCCATGAGGTCAAAGGAACTGCCTACAGAGATCAAGGACAGGATTATTGCAAAGCACAGATCTGGGGAAGGCTACAATTTTTTTTGCTGCACTGAAGATTCCTAAGAACACAGTGGCCTCCATAATTCTCAAATGGAAAACATTTGGCACAACCAGGACTCTTCCAAGAGCTGGTTTCCTGGTCAAACAGCAATCGGGGGAGAAGGGCCTTAGTAAGATAGGTAACCAAGAACCCAATAGTCACTCTGAACTGTGGAGAGTTCAGCAGTTCCAGAAGGACAACCAGCACTGCAGCCCTCCATTGAGCTGGGCTTTATGATAGAGTGGCTAGACAGAAGCCTCTCCTCAGTGCAAAACATATGAAAGCTTGCCTGGAGTTTGCAAAAAAGCACCTGAAGACTCTTGGAGTTGAACTCCTGGTTTCTGTAGTCTGCAATTTTTCCTCTGGAAATCCATTTTTACTCCCACACCATTTAAAGGGTGTTCATCCCAAATTGTATAGCTCAAAGTCTGTAGAGAATCTCAGTCATCCAGGTCATGGTTGTCCCATAGGTGCTTTTTCAGGAGGCAACTAGACTTTCTTGTTTTTTCTTTGTCTTTTTTGAATGGTGTAGGAGCAGGGGTGGGATTCTACCACTTTGCACCTATTTACTAGAACCAGTTGTTAACATTCTAAGCAGTTTGGAGAACCGGTTGTTAGAAGAAATTACTAGCCTAATCCTGTAAGGAAGGCAGAAGGAAACATTCTGGTGTTGCTTACAGAAACTGCCTCTCTGTTAACCCTTATTACTTTCTTGGCAGGACTAGACTTCCTGTCTCTGGAACTTCTCTGGAGTTTTTCCCCCTTCCTTTGCTTGTGTGGAGTGACCATTCAAAGTTACAATGGCACTGAAAAAGGTGGCAGTTCCTCAAATATTGGAACACTGCTATCATGTCTCCTCTAGTCCTTCTCCTCACTAGACTAGCCATGCCCAGTTCCTGTAGCCGTTCTTCATATGTTTTAGTCTCCAGTCCCCGAATCATCCTGGTTGCTCTTTTCTATACTTTTTCTAGAGTCTCAACATCTTTTTTATAATGTGACCAAAACTGGATGCAGGATTCTAGGTGTGGTCTTACTAAGGCTTTATAGAGTGGTATTAGTACCTCATTTGCTCTCGATTGTATTCCTCTGTTAATGCAATTTAGGATTGCATTAGCTTTTTTTGGTGGCTGTTGCTGCACATTGCTGGCTCATATTTAGCTGATTGCCCACTAAGACTCCAAGATCCCTCTCACAGTTACTGCTATTGAGCCTGGTTTCACCCAGTCTATATGTGTACTTTTGATTTTTCTTGCCTAAGTGTAGGACTTTACTTTTCTCTACATTGAATTTCATTTTGTTAGATACGGCCCAGTGTTCTAGTCTGTCAAGATCCATCTGGAACTTGAGCTTATCTTCCTGGGTATTAGCTATTCCTGCGAGCTTAGTATCATCTGCAAATTAGGTAAGTTCCCCTTCTATTCCCTCATCTAAGTCGTTAATGAAGATACTGAGTACTGGGCCTAAGACAGAACCTTGTGGCACCCCACTGCTTACTTCCCTCCATGTAGACTTAGACCCATTAAGGATTACTTGAGTATGGTTTCTCAGCCGGTTGCGAGTCCATCTAGTGGTGGTGCTATCTATTCCACTTTTTTCCTAGTTTACGAAGAAGTAGGTTGTGATCTACTTTGTCAAATGCCTTGCTGAAATCTAAATTTATTATGTCCACAGTATTTTGCTGGTCTACTAATTTAGTCACTGGAAAAGTAAAAGCTGTGATTTGATGTTAATACCTTATTTTACTGTAACAGAGAGAGTTGGAAGCCAATGCTTCTTTTTCTCCCCCCCACCCAATTTTTCCTCATTTCACTTCCCCCTTTTTACTTTTGTATTTTATAATACTCTATAAATTAAAAATCGATTATAAAAGGATAGTGGTTATAAAAGGTTATAAAAAATTGATTATAAAAGGATAGTCGATTATAAAAGGATGCAAATTACCAGTTGTCTGCAAGGAATATAAATTCTTCCATTCACCACTATCCTATCAGAGAAACTTCTTGAATGAGAAGCAAAATATCTTCAAAAGAAAAGAACAAGAAAGTCTAGTTGCCTCCTGAAAAAGCATCTTTGGATATGCATGCTTTTGCACTGGAAGTCCAAAGCTGATTTTGCTTCGGTGCCAAAGTGGATTTATTCAATAAAGTTTATACTCTTGGTAAAATAATGTCCCAGGAGTTTCTTTTTCTGGATTCACCAAGTGGACAGTTGATAGACTTCCACAGCACTAAGGACCTCAGACTTGCCCGAAGGTTCACTTTCCAACATGGCAACGATCCTAAGCACACACTCATGAAGACAATAGGAGTGGTTTAGGATCAACTCTGTGAATGTCCTAGAGTGGCTCAGCCAGTGCCCTGACCAGAATTCTATTGAACATCTCTGGAGGGACCTGAAAATGGCTGTCCTCCAATGGTCGCCATCCAACCTGACTGAGCTTGACAGATTTTGCAAGGAAGAATGGCAGAAAATCTCCCAATCCAGGTGTGCAAAGCTTATCGCATCATTGCTCCCAAAGGTGCTTCAACAAAGTACAGAGTGAACAGTCTGAATACTTATGACAATGTGATATTTCAGTTTTTTATTTTTAATAAATTTACAGAGATTTCTAAAATTGTGTTTTTACTTTTCATTATGGGGTACTGAGTAGATTAATGAGAAAAAAAATGAATTTCAACAACTGTAGAATCAGGCTGCAGCATAACAAAATTGACTAAAGTGAAGGGAGTCTGAATACTTTCTGAATGCACTATATCTGTGTTCATTTATATGTCATATTTTGGAGAAAATGCTTGGGAAATCTTAACACTATTTCCTTTTGAAATTTCCACAGCAAATATGAAACATCTCAACTTATCCTTTGCAGCCTCTGGCTTTCTGGGGATCTACCACTTGGGGGCAGCATATGCTCTTTGCAGACATGGTAAGAAGTTATTGAAGGTTGTGAAGGCCTTTGCAGGAGCATCTTCAGGAGCTTTGACTGCCACTGTTCTTTTAACAGTGCCAGAAAGTATTGAGGTAATTGTGAAGAAGAAATTGCAATCTTGAAAACACAGCTTAAGTCTACCTGCTTTGGATGATCTCGGCTAAGGTTTTGAAAATAAGACCAATGTCTGGTTACAAAGCCGCAGGATGTATTTAATTGTGTTAGCAAAGACACTTTATGGAGGAGAAAACTGCAACTGACAAATCAATTTCTCTCATTTTAATTTGTATTTGCAGATGTATTTTGTTTTGTTTTTGGCTATGGATTTGAAAAAAATAAGAAAGATTACAGTGATGAAGATTAGAAACAGGATTGTTATTTCTACAGATTTTAAAAACATTCTGTTCTGATATAACACCTTAAGATATAATGTCAACACTTTAACTTATAATATGAACTGGTTAATTTTAACAGATAACAGATAATCAGAGTTGGAAGGGACCTTGTAGGTCATCTGCTCCAACCCCCTGCCCAAGCGGGAGACCCTACACCATTTCTGACAAATGGCAGTCCAATCTCTTCTTGAAAGTCTCAACTGATGGCGCTCCCACAACTTCGGAGGGCAAGCTGATCCATTGGTTGATTGTTCTCACTGTCAGAAAGTTTCTCCTTATTTCCAGGTTAAATCTCTCCTGTTCAGTTTCCATCCATTATTCTTTGTCTGGCCTACAGGCACTTTAGAAAATAGCTTGACCCTTTCCTATCTGTGGCAGCCCCTCAAATATTGGAAGACCGCTATCATGTCTCCCCTGGTCCTTCTCTTTACTACACTAGCCAAGCCCAGTTCCTGCAACCGTTCATGGTATGTTTTAGCCTCTAGACTCCCTAATCATCCCGGTTGCTCTTTGTCCTTTTTCTAGAGTCTCAACATCTTTTTTATAATGTGGTGAACAAAACTGGATGCAGTATTTTGACTTTGCACATCTGGCTGAACCAGTTACTGTGGCTTGTAAATTTGTAGTATTCTGCAAAACAAAAAAAATGATTTTTTTTTCAGGTACAACCATTAAGCAAACTACAGGTTCACTAAAACCAGTCACTTAGTGACTGTTCGAAGTTATGATGTACCCCCTTGGGATATTTATGGTGCAGATTTGAAGTTCTGACAGTGTGCTCTCCTCCTTCAGACATGAAATAGAACTTTGTACGGTCAGCAATAGGGTTTATGGCCGTTTACAGCATTCCTGCCATTGTGTGATGATGTTTTACAGTAGTTTCACAAAAAAATGGCACTTCCATTTTTTAGCAAAACGATGCCCACAGGGAAGCATTGATTTGCTTAATGTCTGCAGTGTTTGCTTAATAACTGCTGATTTGTTTAACGGCCATGGTGATTTGCTGAACAACTGCTGCAGAATGTGTAAATTCGTATCAGTCATAACTGACCGGTTTTATATCACAACTTACAAACCATGAAGGACAGATTCCAGTATATACTGACAATTGTTAACCATTCTCACCACAGTCCTGGTAAGTTCCAGGTCTACCTGTGGAGTAAACTAGGTAATTGTCTTATGCAACTATCATATATATGGAACTGTTAATGGTCACAGATATTTCTGAGTGAGAATTGTCTGCTAATAGGACTGATATGACTAATATGATTGAAATAGATGTAACAACAGAATGTGCTGCTCTTCCTTCACCACCACCTATTAAATATGGATGAAAAGCCTTTTTATATGTTTTATAACAATGTGTTAATTTATTAATATTAAATATTAAATGTATAAAGCCAGCCATCTTACGGAAAGTGACTCTGTGCAGTTGACAACAATTCTACTCTGTTTGATAATAATTTCCAACCTATTACTATTGCAGATCCTAGGTTTTGAGAACTGTTTGTGTATCCCAAGGTCTAATGTCCATTATATTAATCAGAATATGAATTTGATTGAGTAGAATAGGTTGAGTTATGAATAATTGTTCATCCTATCACAACTGCAGATAGTTTTATGACTGCTCTGTAAATGACAGTGTATCTGAAGAAAAATATTACAAAAAATAATTTTGAAAGAAGATACTATCAAAAGAAGGCAGGGGAGGGGATGAACCAACAGGTTGAATAGGTGATAGAAATGTACATGAACAACTGTAGCAAGCACTGCATAGTATTTTCACTTTGTTTATAGCTTACAATTTTATTTATTTTCTATTTCATTTAACTTAGTATATTGCCAGGTTTTAAACCAGCCTAGCTCAACTGCATCTGATCAGGATTTATGCACTGAGCTTATTGTTTACATTTAACTTGTAAATCAGATGACCATGCTTTTAGCTCTGGGTCATATTTCAACTAAAGCTGCTGCAACTACCTTGGTCACATCCTTTTAAGGGTTTGGGGAGTCACTGGGTTTGGTGGAAATCACTGTTGTTTAACTAACTTTAATTCCAGCACCATAGGGATTGCCCATATGCTACCTGCAGCTGTTAAAGCTAGTTTTGCATTTTAATGAGGATTTATCTTAATAAATTACAACTTGAAAGTCTGTGGTATTAAAATAAACATTGTCACCTGCAGTTTTCTTTGATTTAAAGCTGTATGATTCTTTTCATAAATTCCAGGATCTCTTTTGCTCATCCTAATCCTTTGTAGTTCAGAAACTGTACTCTAGCTGGACAAAAAAATAGGCATCATTAAATATTTCAATAAAATAATAATAGATCTTAGTTAAATGGAAATAAATTAGCAGCTTTTGATGTATTCTTATCATTTGAAATATTATGAGAAAACTACTAATTTTTTTTAAAAAAGAAATATTTCTGCCTGTATTTACAATCAGTCTAAGAACTGGTCAAGTAGGCATCAAAATCAGTGCTGGGATTCAAATTTTTTTTACTACTGGTTCTGTAGGCGTGGCTTGGTGGGTGTGGCAGGGGAAGGATACTGTAAAATCTCTAGTCAGATGTGATATTTGCCGGTTCTCTGAACTACTCAAAATTTCTGCTACCAGTTCTCCAGAACTGGTCAGAACCTGCTGAATACCACCTCTGATCAAAATATGCAAGTTAATAATTCTATAAATGGATAATTTACTGACAATATTTACACTTTATAATGAAAGTAAAAGTAATAAAAGCCTGTCCTTTTTTTTCAAGTTTCTGTAGCTTTTCTTTTTCTTTACCACAATTCTTAGCATGATTTCAGAAGTCTTTTTTTGCTTCCATGTTGATTTTCATTTACTTTAGTTTCAGTAATATGATAACTTCATTAAAATTATGATGCCTCCTGAGGGTAGGAACATAATGAATTTTACTTCATTTATCAATATTGGTAACACACGTGTTCTTAAATGTATTGTTCTAATTAGGAAGCCCGCCTATTAATATGTAGCATTTTAACAATTTGTAGTGTATAAAAAAGAGACCCTTCCCAAACTGCATTTCTATTATCTGTCCATCTATTCATCCATCTGTGTGAATGCATATGTTAAAAAGTCATTTAAATGTTTCACATAATTAGATTAATGTGTTGAGAGGAGCTGTGTTTACAATTGGTATTTGAATCTTTTTTCAGAAATGTACAACTATTACCTACCAACTTGCTGAAGATACTAGAAAACTCTACTTTGGAGCACTAACACCTGGTTATGATCTCATGACAAAACTTAGGTAGGATTGTAAATATTTATACTTCCAAATTTGGTTTTTTGTAAATTTTCCAATAAATGATACATAAGAAATACTGCATTTGTGATAATTACTGTGGTGAAATGCAGCATTCATGTTTTCCTAAATTATTTAGAAGCTGTTTAATTATTAAAGTGGACTAATATTTATTCTGTTTTTCCATAGGGGCTACATTGATTCAATCCTCCCCCCTAATGCCCACGAGATAGCAGAAAACCGCCTCTTTATATCAGTCACTAGTACTAAGAATGGAAAAAATTATTTGCTTTCACATTTTGCCTCCAGAGAAGATCTTGTTAAGGTAGGAAAGTTGCATATTACTCGTATAAGTGAAATCATCCAGTTGTCTCCAGGGTCTTAAGAGTTTAGGTTTTATTAGTTTTGGCCTGCAAGCTGTTCATGTTCCTCACTTGACACTTGCTTTAAAAATGAAGACTGTGGACATATTGATAGCCAGGAATTCATGACCTAATTGTCTTGGAAATCTTAACAACTGGCCTTTATGGGTAGTTCTTAACTTAGGAGTACAAATGTGACCAGAGATTTCATTGCTAAGTAAAGAAGTTGTTAAGTGAGTCTCACTCAGAGATGTTTTTCTTTTAAAGTCTCATGCTAAGATAATATAGGTGGCTTGGTTCAGGACTGACAGAATTAAGAAAGGATTTAAAAAGCATCTTACATTGTAGACAAATGGGAATACCTGGACTTTAACTCTAAAATGGATCTACTCTTGACTCTTCGCTCCCTCCTAGCCACTTTGGTAATTAAAATTATAAACTGTATGGTCTGAAAGATGAGTTAAAGTAAAGTTGTTATTATTCAGTATTTCTCTTCAGTTAAGGAAATAAGATAAGACTTATTCATATTTTTCCTATGTTTTCTAGGCTTTGTTAGCCAGCAGTTTTATTCCTCTTTATGCAGGAATAAATGCAGTGGATTATAAAGGACAGGTCTGTATAATTATTCTTATTCTGGATACTGTGTTTTTATGCATGCTGCAAAAAAAATCCTCATATCAAGTAGGCTGATCATCACTATCTGATTTTTTTTAAGAACTCATATTAACATGTCACCTTTGAAACATTATGGCCTTGAAAACCAATTATGTGGTGTTCTGCTTCAAGACTTGCTCTGGCAAAAGTATCACTCATCATGGCTTGTGAATTGGCATGGAATGTTCCTGATGTTAAAATAAATGAAATATTGTAGATTCTCATGCATTTGACACTTCTAGTTATAATTAAAGCAGCGAAGATATCACTACAATATGGATGGTTTTCTTTGTTCGTAACAATCTAGGAAGTAACTTCTGTTCTTGTAATGGGTATATGAGAATGACCTTGGGAGACAAGAGGAAGAGCTGCAGACTAGATAGCAGATAAGAGGCAGCTTAGCCCAAAGAAGAAATGGAAGCATGGCAAATGTCTCAGAAGGGACCCTCCCTAACTTCTTGAGTTATAAAGGCAAGGAGGAATAGATGTACTTTTAGACTTTTAACAATAAAGTTAGAGCTAGTACTTCTGGGTATGCTTCTTGTCTGGAGTATATCACAAGGCTGAGAGAACGAGGTAGATTTTTGATAAGAGAATGCTGCCATAGACACAACTTGTTATATTTTGAGCTACGGAGGTGTTAAAATTCCTTTTGTTGTGCAGTCATTAAAAGTCTAGTAATTGTATTATTTGTTGTGTTTAATTACAAATATTCCAACAGTTGTATGGCCATAAGTTTGTGTGTGTGTGTGTGTGTGTGTGTGTGTGTGTGTGTGTGTGCATTCTCATACTGCAAATAGCTGAGTTTCTCTTTATTTGAATGCTGTGCACTAAAGTATATTACTGGTCTCCAGATAGTAGTGGAATGTTTAAAGTGGTTTTAAAAATAAGCTTCATGTTGTGGGAGTTTATACTGATTTATAAGGGATAAGGAAGACAGACTTATTCATTTACCCCGATTATAAATTCAGTGATCAATGAAGCAATGCATAGCACTCTAAAACAAATACTTCCATGGTTACACAGGTTTAAATACTTAGTATATATCCTAAATATTTTTGTCATGCTCCATGATTTCTTTTAAATAGATTTTAACTATACATTATGCTACAGTATCTTCTTTGTAATAGTATGTATGTATGTATGTGTATATATATATATATATATGAAATGCTAGAGACAAGACCTGAGGATGAGTTAGCTTCTGAATTAAAATAAAATGTAATTGATGATTCTGTGGTGTAGGAGAAGAAAAAGAGTGAGGTTTTGTTTGTCTCTCTAATGTTTTGTTGGGAGGGTTTTATTACTGTTTTAATAACATCAACAACATTGATATACAGGTAGTCTTCGACTTACGACCACAATTGAGCACAAAATTGATGTTGCTAAGTGAGACAACTGTCAAGTTAATTTCCCCCCATTTTTATGACCTCTTATCACAGTTAAGTGAATCACTGCAGTTGTTAAGTTAGTAACATGTTAAGTGAATTCGCATTCCCCATTGACTTTGCTTGTCAGAAGGTCATGAAAGGGGATCACTGACCCAGGACACTGCAACCATCATAAATATGAGTCAGTTGCCAGTGCCTGAATTTTAATTATGTGACTATGGGGATGCTGCAATGGTTGTAATTGTGAAAAATGATCATGTCACTTTTTTCAGTGCTATCGTAACTTTGAATGGTCACTAAATGAACTGTTGTAAGTGGAGGACTACCTGTACCTGGTGACAGCAGAATAAAAGAGAAAGAACAAGATTAAAAAAAATCACAAAATATAAAGACCTTAATACAGAAGTAGAATAACTGTGGCAAAATATAGCACCAATAATAACAAGGACCTTGGATGTCACCAGTACCACTTGAATACCATCAGCACTGACATTCTGGAAGTTGAAGTGCACAAGTCTTAAAGTTGCCAAGGTTGGACACCCCTGATTTAGAGAATTATGTACCTGAAAAGATACATGCATAAATATGGTATCTTTCTGTTCCCTTTAAAAAAACAATTACAGTCATCTTGCCTATGGACGAAAAAATCCAAAATCGTTATCTGAACAAAATATTTGAAAGGATAAGCTAAAATATTTCAGCAAAGTGTGCAGGTTTAGAAGTTTTCATCAAGAAAGGACTAAAAGTAACAGGATAGAGAAGAAACAAGGAAAACTAGGTTAGATGTTGAAGCCATAAGGCTTTCTAGATGACATACAGATGATACAAGTTAGAGAATTAAAAATGCATAATACAGATCAATAGATGTGATTCTCTCCCTGAGAGAATCAAGGTTTTGACACAGGAAATTGTATCCAGATATGTAGACAGATAATAAAGCAGTTAATAATTGACAGAGCATAACTGTTTCCACTAGAAATGGATCGATGGTGGCTTAACCAATGGCCTCCCTATCTTGCCAAAAGGCCGGACTGTGACTGTTTCTCCTTTTTGTGGGCGACTAGACATTTGCCCAGAAAACAGAGGACGAGTGGATATTTATGCTAAAGTTGCAAAGCAAGACATCATGGTGAGTTATGCAAGGGAAATTATTTATTCCACAGTTTTAGAATTACTCTTTGTTCTTTAGGAAGATTTAACCTTGTCATGTCTTTATTTTTGGGCATATACAATAGAACTATTATACAGTACATTATGTCCAGCTCAGGGTGGAATTCAGTTTTTTTAACAACCAGTTCTGTGGCCGTTGCTTAGTTGGTGGGTGTGGCTTGGTGGTCATGTGACTGGGTGGGCATGGCTAACTCGACATCACTCATATCAAGGGGTGCTTCTCCTCGCCTGGCCTCTCATGACAGTGGGGATGCTGCAACGGTCATAAGTGTGAAAAATGGGAATAAGTCACTTTTTTCAGTGCCATTGTAACTTTGAATGGTCACTAAATGAACTGTTGTAAGTCAAGGATTACCTGTACAAAAATACAAAAAGCTTCTTAGCTTGCAAAAAGCTGCCCTAAATACCAATCATTAGATTAAACATATCTGCAAGCCGGAGTTACAAATCAGGCAGGGTGCCAGAGCACCTTGAGGAATGAAAATAGTTAAAATGCAGTGACAACTATCAAGCAGCCAACTCTTGCTCATAAAGTGAAACCCTTTAGCAGAGAGGTCATTTAAGCTCTCCAGAAAGAGCACACCCAGGAGAAGCAATCCTTAGATCCATTTGAACACTTAAAAATACCAACTGGTCTCACTTACCTCACAAGATATCCTAAGGAAACCATCCAGATTTAAGGAAAGGTCACATGCCCCCTAGAAAGGCAGTAAAAAAAAAATCAGTGCCAAGCTTGCATCCTGCCTCTTGGAAGTATACCCCAAAAGGACAGTGCCAGATAGTACTAAAGCAGTGAGGAAGACCCCTCCCCAGATAGAAAAAGAAACCATGAGGCAAGAAAAAATTCAAACACAATACAAATAATTAAATCGCAACAGTAGCTGTTGCTTGTTGAAGCTGAATAGGGAAAATTATCCCATCAATAAACACAAGATTAAACGTCCCCAATCACAGAATTAACTTTCACCAAAAAACAGTTTTAGACCAAAACTCAGAAAGGGTATGTAAACTCATGTTTGAATGTTAATCTTTCTAGCTAGCCAAGAAGCCTTGCTGAATGTCACTCATCTTGGTTCCCTGTCACTAAAAGCTTTGCTTCATTATTCAATTATTTCTTCAAAGTGCTGATTGTCCAGGGAAGTATTTCCTCAACAGCAGTGTAAAAATCTTAAAACAACCCTTCTCCTTTAAGAAAGTCAAGCCCCAAAAGCTCTGGAGACAGTAAGTCTAGGCTGTCTGGCAAGAATGTAATAAGGGTGGAAAAAAACAAAAGGAGATTGCTTCTAACTACAGTTCTCTGAACTGCTTAGAAAGTTAACACGGGGTTCTATAGAACCGGATAGAACCGGTAGAATCCCACCCCTGATCCAGCTTCCTATTATTTTAATGTGAAGCTAGGAAAATTCAGTTGGCCATTTTGCCCTCAGTTTCACTACTTTCATAATTAACAGGAAATATTTTAAAGTGTTTAAAAGTTTCAGAATTTCTTGAAGTTAATACCAAGATAATGCCATTGCCTCATTGTGTTTCTCTTTTTTCAAATAATGTTATTGAAGTTTATAATTGCAATAGTAAAAATCAATACAAAATAAAACTAAGAAAAATAGAATAAAAGGTATAAAGTGGAAAAAATAAAATATATAAAGAATAGAAAGAAAAAAGGGAGGAAAGGAAAATAAGAATATAGCAAAGAAAAAAGAAATATACAAATAAGTTATTTCCAAACTTAATCACAAGTATAAATAATTTTAGTAATTTTACTGCTTCTTAAATCATTATAGCAAATGATTTTTTTCTTCCCATATTTTATCTATTAAAAAATCCATAAAGCATGCCATTTCAGGTCTGGTGTCAGCAAAAGTCTATTAAGAGTTACCAGAATTAGACAAAACTCAGATATAAAGAGACTAAAGGTTAAGAAAGAAGAGTACAAGTTGCAAGCATTCGCTGATGACATGGTATTTTTTTATTGAAGAACCAATACAGAGAGGACAAGAAGTGATGAATGAACTAGAACAATTTGGAACAGTGGCAGGACTTAAAATCAATAGAAAGAAAATGAAATTAATGACTAAAAGTTTAACAGAAAAACAGAAATTAGAATTAGAAAAGGAGATGGGAATTCAAGTGGTAAAGAAAATTAAATATTTAGGAATATGGTTGATAGCACATTGTAAGACATTAAAGGAAAACAATTATGATAAATTAATGCAACAGGTAAAGAAAGATTTAGAAATACGGGGTAAGCTACAACTTTCTTTATTAGGTAGGATTGCTGCCATTAAAATGATTATTCTTCCAAAATTCCTCTGTATATTTCAGACGATACCAATCAAAATTCATAAAAAAATACTTTGTGGAACTCAATGGGATAACTTCAAAATTTATCTGGCAAGGTTAAAAAACGAGAATAAATTTAAAGGCAATGCAGGTTATGAAGAGCAGGGGAGGGATGGCACTTTCAAACTGGGAGCTGTACCACAGTGCAGCCTCCTTAGTATGGTTGAAAGAATGGGTGAACATAACTAATAAGAGAATATTAGCCCTAGAAGGTCATGACTTACAGAGGGGGTGGCATGCCTTTTTATGGGATGTAGGGAAAACCAGTCAGAAATACTTTCATAGACACCTAATTAGAGATGCCCTCCTGACCAATTGGAAGAAAGTAAGGAAAAAATATTATTTAAAGATCCCGATCTGGATTTCAACTATGGAGGCGATGATACACCCTAATAATTTGGATATTACCAAGATGATTAAATATAAGGATTTATTGGATTTGTAAGGAAATTTGAAATCATGGCAGGACCTCCAAGATCAGGGATTACAAATCGACCATTGGGCATATCTTCAAGTTCAAAACAGATATAGACAGGATAAGAAAGAATTTGGAATTTATAATAAACCTCAGCAGTTGGACAAAATTCTTTTAGGCCCAGACAAAAAAAAATGTAACAAAATTTTATAATTATCTATTACGGACAGAATTAGAGGGAGAAATAGTTAAAGGAACTATGATATTCTGGAGTGGGAATATAGGACATAGTATCACTTTAACAGAAAGGGAGAGAGTCTGGAATAGAAATAACAAAATCACAAAATCGGCATCGTACAAGAAAAATGCTTATAAAATGTTTTATAGGTGGCACCTCCCCACCCACTGAGACTAGCGAAGATGCACCCCAACATGAGTCCGAACTGCTGGAAATGCAAAAAAAGGAGGGAACATACTTCCACATGTTGTGGTCCTGTACAGAAGCACAAAGATACTGGCAGAGAATTAAAACATGGCTGGAGGAAATGACGACAGAACAGATTGAATTCAAACCAGAGTTCTTCCTATTAGGGATCTTTAATAAACAATTTCCAAAAAAAGTGAAGTATATAATATTACATGTATTGATGGCAGCTAGATTGGCTTTTGCACAATGTTGGAAACAACCTCATACTCCATCAGAGGAAATGATTATTCAAAAAATACTAAATTGTGCAGAAATGGATAAATTAACCCTAGTATTAAAAGATAAAGAACCATCAATGTATTATGAGAGCTGGAACTGCTGGTATGAATGGTTAGATAAGAGATGGGCTACATAACATTGTAAAAGAGGATAAGCTATAATTGTAGTGGTAATTATATATTCGCATTAAGGATTACTTGTAAATGTGGCATAAAATAAGGATAACCCACAAACTGTCGAAGATGAAATTGTTTTTAATCACTTTTTGATCTCTTTTTACTTTTACTTCTTTTTTCTTTTTCTCTCTTCTCTCTTTTACTTCTCCACTCTGTTTCGCTTCTTCTTTTCTACATTTGTGTATGTGTTGTTTGTTTATTTTAATTGTAAAATGAATAAAGTTTATTTTTAAAAAGAGTTACCAGAAATAACATATCTATTTTAACTTTCATTAAATAAAGCAACCTTATATTCCTTCCTTTTATTTCTCACAATCTTAAACTTTAGTCCATTCAAATAATGTCATAAAACTGGATTTCATTTCTTTGTCTCTTGTGAGATTCTTCAAAGCTTTGTCTCTTTTATAAGTCCAATATGGAAAAAAGGCCCAGGTTACTCTGTTGATTTATTGTTCGTATATCCCTTTTAATTTTTTACAATATCCAGCATAACATCTTTTTCCATGTCATTCTTATCACCTCTGCCATAACATGTTTTAGACATAATCTATCCATTAAAGCAAATATTGCTGTTGACATTATTAAAGTGTTGATTTCCATTTTTGAAAATCCCCCTTTAATATTTCTAGTGTTAGAATATTTGCCATTCTGTACTTGATAATAAAGTTTTACGTTTTTTTTTTCTTTAATTGAAATTTTTAGTTCCCTCTGGTGTTAATCTTTAAAATCTTATTGTATTGTTTTAATTGAAAACAAAAGCATTTCAGGAGAGATTTTTTATAATCAAATCCCAGGTCTTATTTCAAATTTGTCTGGACCCTTAGTCCCTTTGTAACTTTCTAAAATCAAATTTTTAATCTACCTTTTGCTATTTGTTTCAATTTAAATCTTTCTTTTGTAAAGGATTGATGTCAAACTAAGCAGGTGCTTTGAAAGTTAATATCCAAAGATTTATAACAGCTTAAAAGTACATAACAAGCCATTTCCAAAAGTAATTATAAAAGGAAGTATACAAACTTTATAAAGTTGCCTACCATGGTTTGAACCAGATTCTAATTTGCTTGTCTGCCACAGGTCTATATAGCTGCTAAAACCCACTGTCTTGCAATATCATTGTAAAGAACTGTTTGAAGCAGATAGATGTTTTCATCAAACTTAGTGATTAAATGGTAGTGATTTGGTTTTACCTAATTAAAAATAGCAGTGATGATTAAGAGACATTAGACCATGGGTGTCAAACTCACGGTGTCATATTGCTATTACGTGATATTTCGTGATGTTTTTTCCCTTAGTGGAACTGGGATGGGCATGGCCTGCGTGTGACTCAACTGGCCCATGGGCCCCCATTTTGACACCCTGCATTAGACAAACTATTACTGGCTACCCCTGTGGTGAGGGACATCAGGGCCAAGTCCATGAAATTTATCTTTATGCTTCAAAATCAAATCACCAAAATTTAGTAGTGAACTACTGGATAATTGTAGTGCAATTTTCCCTTGGCAGTACATCAAGTAAAAATAGGTGTGAAAACTATATGTGAAAATACCAATGAATGTTTTAAAACATTTCAAATGTTTAAAAAGGGGCAAAAGGTTTGATTAGCTTTTTAAAAATATTTTAGAACTATCTTTTTTCTGTTTCAGTTTTCTAGGATCGTGAAAATAATTAGATTAAAAAAACCACTTTGCTTCAGATTTTAATTTAATTAATGTTCTAATTAATGTAATTATATTTAAGTGCTGTATGTTGGATAAATTTCATGAAACCTTGCAATCTCTAGGTTCTCACAATAAACTAAGCCATGATTAAAACCATGGTTTATTAAATACACCCATTTGATTGACTTCAAATATTGCAAGTCAAAAGCCATGATTTATATACCATAGAGGCCATTAACAAAAGCAAGCACTTTATGTCTTAGCAAATGCAAGAATACAATCTATATGAAATAATGCATTATATCAAAATGTAATTAATTAAGCAGAAAATTTCCTGCTTTTTTCTTCTTGGATGCAGTTATCCATTGGCAACCTTATAAGACTTCATCAAGCTCTATTTCCACCAAGCCAGGAGAAAATGGAATCGCTATATCAAGATGGATATGATGATACCATCCAGTTTTTATTGAAGGAAAATTGGTTTGAGTAGATTATGCATGATGAAAATAAATAAATTGATGGCTTGTCAATGCAAATCTTTGAGCATGCCATACAAAGCCCAAAGGGCTGATGTCACCATTTATGTTTATCTAAAAAAAATGTCACTGGGATTTCATCTGTTGATGCCAGTCAGGTGTGTTATATGTCATTGTGCTGGTCTGAATTTGTAGAGGGTTACAAATGCAATGGAATTGTATTTGGTATAGAAGATAAGCTGCTTCTTAGAAAAGATTAAGAGAAATCAAAACTTTCATTGCTTTATTTTTGTTCTGATTTCCATTTTTCATGCAGATATGAAAATGTTAAAAATATGAGTTTTTGGCTCATTAAATGTATTCATATAAAGTCATAAATATGGGCAGTTTGCAGAAAATTGAGTACTTGTGTTATTTCATAAAATACTATTTATGTGTTCATTAATTAGTTTACTCATTTTTTTTTAATCCAGTGCATTCTCAAGCATGAACTGTAATTAAATGAAACCATGGGAAACAAAACAACTTAACAACTCATTTATCTACAGATATGTTTTACCACTAGTAGACTTAGTTTTTCAGATAGCCTACGTATATTTTAAAATGTTGACTTTCAGTGGGTTTATTTATCCTTTCTGTCATATAAAATTCATTGTAGAAAGAAAAGAAAAATGTCAATTAAACATATTGCATCTTTATTTATGCCTTACACACATAGTAAATAGATCAGAGCAATTGTTAAATATGAATAAAGCAAGTTGCATCATCCAGTTCTATTTAAAACATTGTCTCAAAGGAAGTAATTTGCTGATATAATGAATATTGCCAAATTGCATTTTCATCTAAAATGCTTTCTATGCTGTTGGAATCTGTTGGGTATGATTTTCTAGTGGCAAGTCTCCTGTCATCATAATCTAAGAGTAGTATTGATTTTACTTACAGTAAATATTGCAGTATCTATTTTAAATTAACTGTTTTAATAAATTCTTATTGCAAAAATTTTACAATGTTCTTTTTAATTCATTGTAGACCTGTCTTTTCTATGATTTGCATGAAGTTAATGAATATAGTTTGTGTATAAACCCAAAAGATGGTGTTGTAAAAGCCAAGATTTTACTCTTTATTTCCACTACAGTTGGTTCTCCACTTACGTCCATTCATGTAATGACTGTTCAAATTTACGATGCCATTGAAAAATGTGACTTACAACCAGTTTTCAGACTTATGAACATTTCAGTTTCTCTGTGGTCTCATTATCATAATTCAGCAGGTGTTTATGACAATTGCAATGACATAGGGTCACATAATCACAATATGTGACCTTTCCAGATGGTTTCCAACAGGCCAAGACAATGGGGAAAGCTGGATGGAGCTTGTTTGGAGGTTCTAGCAAGGGAGCTCAGTATTGTATACCCTTGAACGAAGATTGGTATACCCTTTCTGTCTGGGATGGTTGTTTTCTACCATTGAGTGTGCAGCTTTTGGAGGGATGCACATGGAACAGTGAGAGAGGGAGGGGTCACACCTAGCCAAGTAGATCAACCAAATCAACCTGGGTGATCAATGGGATGACAGATATCACCCTCACACACAACTGGATTTGTTTAATGACCCTATGATTCATCTAATAACTGCAGTGATTTGGTTAACAAAGAAGGTTGCAAAATTAGGTGTATCTCACATAATGACTGCCTCACTTAGTGACAAGTTACAGTACCAAATGTCATAAATTGAAGACTATATAGAAGTTATGCTTATGAATACCACTGTTGAAAAACAAGTTTTACCTTCATCAGCAGGTTCTCCATATACACGGGTTAACATTTCATATTGCAGCAATGAACAAAGGAATTGAACTGTGGGTGTAAAACATGTATAATGCACACTAATTTTATACTTACCCTTTTTATTGTAGAACATTTGCATTTTTTTATCCACTTGAAGTGAACTAAATGTAATCCTATAATCTTCTTTATGAGCTTTTTGAGCTTCTCTGTGTTTGTCAGTACTTTTCTATGCATTGAAAGAAAATAGAATGGTGTACTTAACAGATCAGTGCCCCCCATTTCTATCACCCAATACATGTAAAAACTCAACTATGGTATTTTATGTAGAATCATTTTGAGCAAAGCAAGTTTAGTACAATTCTCAAAAACATTTTAAGCTGTAATCATGATTAAAGGAGAAGTCATTGGCAAAATTTATTCAATGAAACTAGTGAGACGATACTGGGGCAACATCATCTTTGATTATACAGCCATTGTTTAAAGGATCAATGGCACCAGGTATGAGGGACAATATTATGGGGGGGGGGGGGGGGGGAAAAAATACCACTAAAATTTACCAATGATATGCCCCCTTTCACTAGATCACTTCTTCACAGTTTGTCTTCAATCTCCTCTTGCTAGACAGCAAATTGGGAACTACCATAAAGTGTTTCCCAGGTGGGCTCACCTTAGATATTCCAATTAAACAAATTCACTGCCTTGCCATACCATGGCCCTAAGCCCAGCCCAGAGCCTTATTTCACCTTAGAACCAGACCCTGATGAGACATAGGCATTTCACCTTTTTTATAAAACAGTGCACGCTTCTCTAATATTAAGGTTTAAAAACCAACAAAAGAGTTTCTAAGTTTGCTTGAGTTTTGGAAAGTGTTGAAAGTGACATTCCCTCTTCCTCATTTGTTTCCTTTTAAAGCAGCCATTAGTAGCAACTTCAAAGTATCAAGTATAAAGTAGTAATAAAAGCCAATTCAGACACTCAGAAAGATTCTTTTTTAAGCTGTTTGACCTCCAAATCTGTTCTAACAGTCACTAGGTAAAAAGTTACTGCAGGCATATATCCTTAGTGACCTATTACTGACAAGATGACAACTCAAGTTAGAAGCAAAGCTCTTAATATTATATCACCAGATCCAAGATAGTATATAGAAAATTCTTATAATTCACTGTTGCAAAGGACGGTCTCTACTTTCCAAGAATTGTTCATCATGCAATAATGTTTTTTTTAGACTTAGAGAACTTAGACTTAGAATAACTTTATTGTCATTTTGAATGTACATTAATCGGCATACATTAAAATGGAATTTTGTTGCATACAGCTCTCAAAGAGTCGCCACCTCCGATATACACTACATAAACATGACTAAATAAATAAATACATACATACTGCAGAATTATGTATATAACCACATATATGACATGGAAAAACAACAGTCTAGTTTGAATGCATACCTGCAGGGGTGGAATTCAAATTTCTTAACAACCGGTTCTATGGGCGTGGCCTAATTTGTGGGTGCGGCTTGGTCATGTGACTGGCTGGGTGTGGCTTGGTGGTCATGTGACTGGGTGGGTCAAAAGATAGAAACTCACTTTAACAATGCTCTTGGAGTGGGGTTGGACTAGATGACCTCTGAGGTCCCTTCCAGCTGTGCTGATTTCAAAGCATCCTCGGAAGCTGCATCTAGTGCCAGGGTTTGTGGTCCTAACTTCCTCTCCTTTTTCTTTCCCTCCCTCCGTCCCTCTATCCATCCGTCCACCCATATCTCATTTACTTTACTTTCTCTTCCCTCTTTCTCCCTTCCCTCTTTCTTCCCTCCCTTTCTTCCTTTCTCTCATCCCTCCCTCTTTCTTTTTCTTCTTCCTTTTAAGAGAAAAAGAAAGAAAGAAAAGAAAGAAAGAAAAAGAGAGCTACCATGCATCTCTATGCTATTCATTGTATATTTTCAGCTGGAACCTCTCTCTACTTAAACCAGGGGTCCCCAAACTTGGCAACTTTAAGACTTGTAGACTTCAACTCCCAGAATTCTCCAGCCAGCTGGCTGGAGAATTCTGGGAGTTGAAGTCCACAAGTCTTAAAGTTGCCAAATTTGAAGACCTCTGACTTAAACCTTAGTACAACACCCAGCATATTTAAAGCCATTAAACATCTTGGATAATGTTGAAACTTTTTGCATACTTGTACTTAAACAGAAAGATTTTTGTTTTAACACATTTCCAATGCTACTTTTTATGAAGTAAAAGTCAAGAAAAGGAGATTGGAAACAAAGCAAAGGTTAACCTTCTCAATCTTTGTAACCCTTTCTAAATGGCAAGTAGAAGTGAGCTTTCTACTTGCTGTTTTATTACCAAATGGTGAAAAAAATGATGACTGGTTCTTGCGCTTATGATCATCTCAGCATCCCTGCAGTCACATGATCCTGATCCGGATGCTTGAAAACCAGCTCATGTTTTCAATGGTTGCAATATCCTAGGGCCATGATGACGAACCTATGGCATGCGTGCCGGAAGTTCATGCAGAGCCATCTCTCCAGTCACACCAGCCATCGCCCATTGCTCTTCTGGGTTCTGGCGTGCGCATGTGTGCCAGCCAGGTGGTCTTCACTTACGTGGGAGTGCCGGAAACTGGAAGAGCAGCTCCCAGCATGTATGCGCACGCTGGCCAGATGGTCTTCACACCTGCATGCGCTCCAGAAACTGGAAGACCAGATGGCCGGCATGCATGCATACACCGGAAACCAGAAGCTCAGCTTCCCGGCACGCTTCTACACGCCGGGGAGCTGGTCTTTTGGTTTCCAGCACTCCTGCACGCTCTCGTTTCAGCATTCAGTGCCAAAATGCTTTGCCAACACTGTCCTAGGGTAAGTGATTGCCATTTGTGATTTTCCCAGCCAATTTCTAGCAAGCAAAGTCAGTGAAGAAGCCAGCAGGAAAAGGCACAAGTTGCAATCATGTGATGTCTCACTTAACTGCTCCACTTAACTAATTTTCCAATCCCAATTGTAAGACTGGGATTGCTTATGCTGCCTCCCTTCCAAAATATCCTCAAAGAGGGTTGTACTTTAATACAAATAATCTGAAGGGGATCTTAGGAAACCAACTAAAATTGAAAGCAACTATCTCCTCTTTTGAAAGAAATAATAAGCATCAGCTATTTTTTCAGCAGTGTGATTTCTCATCACATTTACAGTGCCTGTACTATGCACTATAAAAATGTAATGTATTACAACCGAAATATCTTTTTAAAAGAAAAACCACCAAACTTCCAAGCTGAATCCTTTGATTAAATGACATTTTCACTACTTCAGCCTTACAAGAGCTAAATCCCTATAAGGAAATAATTCCATAGGACTTTATTATGTAGTTAGAAATGGTGTGGAAGAACCCAAAGCTCAGAGGCCTCCTTAACAAACATAGTCTTTCCTGAAAATGTACAAAAGGAAGGCAAAAAAATCTTCCTTTTTTTAAGGGAGAGAAGTCAAAAATTGCAGGATTGAATACAATTTTGTAATGGGAAATGCA